CTTAGGGTGGGGGAGGGGCCTCAGGGTGGGGGAAGGGCCTCTGGATAAGGCAGAGGCCAGTTATGTGAGAGGGGCTCAGCGCAGGGGTGGGAGCTCAGGATGGGGGCAGGGATAGTCCGGGAGCAGAAGGCCACCCGGGTAGGAAGCGGCCATGCTGGCAACAGGCAGAGCAAGCTCTCTGACGACTGGTGACAGCCTTGCCTGGTGACAGCCTTGCGGCGGACTCAGGGCTCCTTGGGGACATAGCGGTAGATCCAGTCCAAGTAGTGTGTGACGCGGGTGTAGATGCCAGGCCGGTTGGGCAGAGCGCAGCCTTCCCCCCAGCTCACCACGCCCGCCTGCAGCCAGGCGCCATTCATCTTGCAGGACAGGGGCCCTCCGGAGTCGCCCTGGGAGGTCAAGGGTCAGCACTCGCTGAAAAGCCCAGAGGGCGGACGTGGGCGTGAGGGGCGCGGGACTCACCTGGCAAGAGTCGTGCCCTTCATTCCCAGCACACAGCATGTCATCCTGGACGATGCGGACGTTGTCCCCCGTGTAGAGCCCAGTGTGGTACTTGGCATCACAGAGGTGGTTTTCCACGATGGGGACTTCGACCTCCTTCAGGGGGAATGGCGGCGGCAGGCTTTCTGTGGGCAGGGAAAGGCAGGCTGCAGCGGGCCCCCACTGCCCCGTTGTGGGCAGGGGTGACGGCAGCACCAGGGGGTGCCTACTCGGGATGGTGGCAAATGTCTCACCCCGGAGCTTGCCTCTGGCTGGTCCTGGGACCCTGGCCTCATCTAAGCCTCAGCTGGGAATGGAGGGGGGCCCCACAGGTTACCAGGCAGGCACCCCCATCTTCCCTCAGCTCGGCTGACTTGGGCAGAACTGAGCCGGGGTCCAAGATGGGCCCCTGCCGGCTGCCCAGCCTAGCCCGGCCCCAGGACTCAGCTGTCCTCTCTGTGCCTGGGGCAGGAGGGCAGGATCTGGGCCCTGCCACCCTGAGCAAGACTTGCTCAAGCTACCCCTGCAGCTTCCAGAGGCCATCACCCAGGGACGCTGCTCACGCTGTCCCCAGAGCTTGGCTCTGAGCTGTGAATGGACTGGCTACAGGTCAGACCGAGCTCTGCCCGACCCCTACAACGCATCCTGCCCAGCCCCGATCCCTGAGCATCTGCCCGAGTCCATGGCAGGCGGCCCTCCACAGGGGGCAGCGACTCTGTCTCTTACAACATAGACACTGTGTGTGTGATTTCTTGCCCTCCTCATGCTAACCCATGCAATACAAACTTCTGATGTGCCCCTTTCAGACAAGGGGAAACTGAGGCACAGAGGTGTCAAGTGGCTTGTCCAGGGCCCCAGGGTGTGGGCTGAGCCTGCTGGACTTGTCGACCCTGCTCTCAGCCTCTCAGCCCCGGCAGCCTCCTGCTACCTCCCCACCCCCATCCCAGTGTCTCCCATTGCCATCCCTGGCCAGCCCATCAGGACCCTGTCCCCGTGAGGGTGCTCAGGGGCTGGGATGGGTGTGGTCCTGTCCCTCCCAGCCTCCCGCTGTCCCCGACACCCACCATCGTTGTCCACATCCCCCCAGCCTGTCACCCAGCACTGCGTCCCCGGAGGGAAAGTCTCCGAGGCAGGGGGCAGGGTGACCGTGTGGACGGGGCCGGAGGTGTTCACAGGCTCCTGCAGCTCCAGCAAGGCAATGTCCGCCCCGCCCTGGGCCGTGTAGTAGTCAGGGTGCGGGAGGATCCTGCTGAGCCTCAGCAGCTGGTCGCGGTAGTAGAGGTACTGCTCCCGCAGCTGCACTCGGATGTCGGCCAGTTCCTTGACGTCCCTGGGGAGGGCACCGATTCAGGCCTGTGTGGCCCCCAGGGGCTCTGGAGGGAGAGTGGACCCTGCCCCACCCCCGGGCCCAAGACTCACGGTCCCACGCAGTGAGCTGCCGTCAGCACCCACTGGGGGTGGATGAGCGATCCCCCGCAGAAGTGCTGCCAGAACTGGCCACGGGCTCTCAGGCTCACCTGCCAGGGCCACCTGCTCTCGGGTGCATCCTCTCCCCCAACGATGCCCGCTCGCTCCAGGGCCTGGCCTGGGGCTGGGACAGGAGCCGGGTCAGGGCCTGGTCTGGCCAACTCTGGCCCACCCAACCCCGTCTGTGGGGTGAGGGGGTTAGGGACTCACCGGGGGCAGCGCAGATGGGGCTTGCCAGGACA